ATTATCAGAGGCTATTTTCTCCAAATCATCTGGCCACATGTTCATTCTACATATTCTGAGCTTATCTTCCCCAAACCATCTGGCCACATGTTCATTCTACATATTCTATGCTTATCTTCTCCAAACCATCTGGGCACATGTTCATTCTACATTATCAGAGGGTATTTTCTCCAAATCATCTGGCCACATGTTCATTCTACATATTCTGAGCTTATCTTCTCCAAACCATCTGGCCACATGTTCATTCTACATATACTATGCTTATCTTCTCAAAATCATCTGGGCACGTACATGTTCATTCTACATTATCTGAGGCTATTTTCTCCAAACCATCTGGGCATATGTTCATTCTACATATTCTATGCTTATCTTCCTAAAACCATCTGGCCACATGTTCATTCTACATATTCTATGCTTATCTTCTCCAAATCATCTGGGCACATGTTCATTCTACATATTTTTAGGTTATCTTGTCCAGACCGTCTGAGCACATGTTCATTCCATATATTCTGAGATAATCTTCTCCAAACCATCTGGGCACATGTTCATTCTACCTAGGTTATCTTGTCCAAACCATCTGGGCACATGTTCATTTGACATGTTCTGAGGTTATCTTTTTCAAACCACCTTGGCACATTCTACCTATTCTGAGGTTACCTTCTCCAAACAGTCTGGGAAATTGTTAATTCTATTTATGTTGATGTTGTTTTTCTCCAAACCATCTGGGCACGTGTGTTCATTCCACATATTCTAAGATAATCTTTCCCAAACCATCCGGGCACATGTTCATTTCACATTATCTGAGGCTATCTTCTCCAAACCATTTGGGCACATGTTCATTCTACATTTATCTGAGGCTATCTTCGCCAAACCATCTGGGCACATGTTCATTCTACATATTCTATGCTTATCTTCTCCAAACCATCTGGGCACATGTTCATTCTACATTATCAGAGGCTATTTTCTCCAAATCATCTGGCCACATGTTCATTCTACATATTCTATGCTTATCTTCTCCAAACCATCTGGCCGCATGTTCATTCTACATATTCTATCTTTATCTTCTCCAAATCATCTGGGCACATGTTCATTCTACATTATCAGAGGCTATTTTCTCCAAATCATCTGGCCACATGTTCATTCTACATATTCTGAGCTTATCTTCCCCAAACCATCTGGCCACATGTTCATTCTACATATTCTATGCTTATCTTCTCCAAATCATCTGGGCACATGTTCATTCTACATTATCTGAGGCTATTTTCTCCAAATCATCTGGGCACATGTTCATTTTACATATTCTTAGGTTATCTTCTCCAAACCATCTGGGCATATGTTCATTCTACATATTCTATGCTTATCTTCTCCAAATCATCTGGGCACATGTTCTTTCTACATATTCTATCTTTATCTTCCGAAAACCATCTGGGCACATGTTCATTCCACATATTCTGAGGTTATTTTCTCCAAATCATCTGGGCACATGTTCATTTTACATATTCTGAGGTTATCTTCTCCAAACCATCTGGGCACATGTTCATTCTACATTATCTGAGGCCATCCTTACCTTGTACTTGCAACAAAAAAGCATGTCTCTAGGATCAAATAGTGATCTAGACCTGAAAGTTGGTGAATTAAAAATAACCACCTAAAAGTACTCATTATCCATATGTGTACAACAATGATCCATATTCAAAGGTAGTACCCTAAACCAAATCTACTATTCAGATCTTTAGATCCATGAATGTCGACTACACACAATCAGCCAACATAACATGTTGTGTTGTACACATTCAAACAAATAATGACTTGTCCTGTATATTGTGTGTATACTTGAACTTGAATTGTGTATACTTGATAAAATATGTTAAATAAAGATATATATTAGGAGTTATCTACTGCTACATTTTTTTGCCTCATCCTTGTACGAGATACTGAATGTTTGTGTATATATACAAGTAGTTTCCAATTGGACAATGCTTTTTAACTGCTAATTTTTTATTGAAAGGCTTGCAGAAGGCTTGACTTGATTATTTCTACATATAATCAGATACTTGGTGATACAGAATATCGCTCATCTTGTGCAGACCATTGACAATGATAAATGATTGGCATAAATACAATGCTCGTGATAGTTAATCTGAAACAAGTCTTAAGTAAATAGATAGATAATCTGTAATAAAATCAGATAAAATAAATTGAGGCAAAGGGATATCTGGAATGTTAATTCAGATTCGCAAAATCCATAAATGATTTTTAAAAGAATATTTGTTTTTGGTTTACTCATTTAGGAACATTAGTGGTAATCTTTAATTTGAAACTACTGGATAACGGAGAACCAGAATTAGATATTAAAACAGACTCCAAGGATATAATTATGGCTAATCCTTATATTGGTGAGGATGAAATAGAGGACAGGTGAGTATTGTGAACATCCTGACATGTGGACAGTCTAATTCCCAACTGTTGTCGACATTCAAACTACGGTACCAACATTCACCCTAGTCCCAGCACCTTTCAACATTCTGACTACTCCCAGCACCTGTCAACATTCGCAGCACCTGTCAGCATTCTGACTACTCCCAGCACCTGTCAACATTCACACCACTCCCAGCACCTGTCAACATTCTGACAAGTCCCAGCACCGGTCAACATTCTGACTAGTCCCATCACCTGTCAACATTTTGACTACTCTTAGCACCTGTCAACATTCTGACTACTCTCAGCACCTGTCAACATTCTGACTAGTCCTAGCACATGTCAACATTCTGCCTACTCCCATCACCTGTCAACATTCTGACTACTCTCAGCACCTGTCAACATTCTGACTACTCTCAGCACCTGTCAACATTCTGACTACTCTCAGCACCTGTCAACATTCTGACTATTCCCAGCACCTGTCAACATTCTGACTACTCCCAGCACCTGTCAACATTCTGACTAGTCCCATCACCTGTCAACATTCTGACTAGTCCTAGCACATGTCAACATTCTGACTACTCCCATCACCTGTCAACATTCTGACTACTCCCATCACCTGTCAACATTTTGACTACTCTTAGCACATGTCAACATTCTGACTACTCTCAGCACCTGTCAACATTCTGACTACTCTCAGCACCTGTCAACATTCTGACTACTCTCAGCACCTGTCAACATTCTGACTATTCCCAGCACCTGTCAACAATCTGACTACTCCCAGCACCTGTCAACATTCTGACTACTCCCATCACATGTGTACATTCTGACTACTCTCAGCACCTGTCAACATTCTGACTACTCCCAGCACCTGTCAACATTCCGACGACTCCCAGCACCTGTCAACATTCCGACGACTCCCAGCACCTGTCAACATTCCGACGACTCCCAGCACCTGTCAACATTCCGACTACTCCCAGCACCTGTCAACATTCCGACTACTCCCAGCACCTGTCAACATTCTGACTACCGTAATCCTTCTATTAATTCGATCATGAAAAAATAATTATTTTTGAGAGTGGCAGATTTATAAGAAGGAAAACAGAAATTATTTTTTTGAGTGGTCGAATTATAAGGGTATAAATTCTAGTAAATGAACTGCAGGATTGAGAACGAAAAAGAAACTACCACTTGAAGAAAAGAGAACGCAACAGACACCGGTGGCAGCCCGCTACCTTTACCACCCACAGAGCTTGTCA